AAATGTATAAGGAACGAGATCATTTTTAAGGGCAATATCTGAACTTACAGCATACAGCAATCCTTTGACAACGCCTACTCCTACGCTACTGCGCCGTGTTGACATTCGCGCTATTGGTCTCCATTCGCGAGTGCGCGGGTCATATACTTCGGCCGAATTTAATCCCGTCGAACCATCAAAACCACCGACCTACAATATAAAATAATATCAGTTTTAATTTAAAAAAGGAAAGAAAAATGCCACAAGATAATGTTTTCTAGTCGACATTTTCCAATTTTAACTGATATCAATAATATTGGAGAAAAATATTAATAACGTACAGCGTAAACGCAATTGCCGAGCACTGCTACACCGAGCGTCGACCTCCTAGCTTCCATCTCGGGACAGGGTGACCATTGATCCGCCGCGGCGTCATAAATATCAACCGTTCGTACTCTCAATGATCCATTGAATCCACCAACGGCGTACACACGTCCGCCGAGAACACAAAGCCCTATGAAGCGATACAAAATTCTGCATTACGTAGGAAAAAAAAAGAAAACAATATTTTATCGTAAATATATTGGCTTACCGGCTCTACAACGTCGTGTTGGCAATTCGGAAACTTGATACCACTTTTCCTCTTTAAAGTCATAACACTCGACGCTCCTGATCGCCTTTGGAGCTTGACCACCGACAACGAGCAATACTTTGGGCAAGCCTCTTGGCTGCCTCGGTTTAGTACGTGGCGTTTTAAACAGCGATTTTTGCTCACCCTTCAGTAAATGATATTTTAAGGCTTCAATCAAGAAATCTTTGCCTGTAGAAATTCAAAATATATGCATGCATCGTCCTTTTTAAATAGTCATACATATATTGTAATAGTAAACTTACATTGTAAATTTGCCTTGAGAAGTGGTTCCTCCTCCACACGTTGAACTAAATATTCTTGAGACAATAAAGGTAAGCGCACATATTCCATTAACAAAGCTAAATCGGTCTGTCTCTTTTCAAGATCATGATGTACCCATGAAATGACACATTCAAATACTTTCTCTTCAGAAGGTACCATTAAACGATCGCTACAAATAAGCTTTGCTACTTGATCAGCTGCCAGTGTCAAAAATTCTTCCGCATCAACCACTTCTCTATTATATTAAGAATATAATTATTATCATAGCAATATACTCAGATTTAATGCATTAAGACTCGAGTAATCTTACGAAAAATGTTGCTCGATATAGCTATCCGCGTGCGTCAACAGTTCGAGACATCCGTGCAGATCTGCAAATGCCCTAATACCAAGACAATTAGATGGATGCAATTGAGCTTGTAAAAAATCGCAGCAAGCATCTCGAACATCTGTCAATTGTAATAAATTCGCAGCGGGTAGGAGCACCTGCACATTCTCCTCCGTGACATGAACTTCAGCAGAATAAACATAATCTACCAATAGCTCTAACGCCGAATAATCCACGCCTTGCAACGTTATCCTCTCCTGATCACGTTCCTCGAAACTTGTAAACATGGCATAGAAGTAAGGGCTACATGCAGCGAGAACCATTTTGTGAGCAGGTACCTCCATACCACTGTCCGCTACTAAGATGACATCGCAGAGTAAATTTTTCCTAAATGATAGTATCAAAGTGTTCAATTTTGTTGTAAAAATATAATATATGTCCAATAATATTTTAACAGATAATACAAAGATATATACTTTCTCATCTCGTTAATGACATCAAAGGCTCGATTCGTGTGATGGTGATTCCTATATGGTGGCTTGTCCTTTCCATTCTCACGAGGAATGTGTTTTTGTGAGCTTTCATCTAGAGAATTCTGGCTAGCATAGCGAAGTAACAAACAGCTGTAATAATAAAAGATAAATTAAACTTTTCGATAAGTATTTTGCAAAGCATTATCGACATTATTTTTTCATGCTGAAATATTCAGAGAAAGCGATGTGTAAGTAAAGGATGAAAGACTCACCTGCCCTTAGTGTCAGAACCGTCGCCAATATTATTCAAAGCGTTAGGTGGTTGATTCTGTCCCACTGGCTCCATTTCAATCGATTTTAAACTACTTTGATGCTCAGAAGCGCGTGTGATTGAACACGATGAAATAATTCACGCGTTCTCGCTCGATTCCGAAAGCGAAATCAGGCACGCTCTGGTTCAGGTTCGGCTTCTCTCTTTCTTGGAATCCTGTCCCGGTTGGGACAAAATATGTATCTCACGTTTTCTTTATACATATATCACTCGCAGCAAAATTTTCTTCTAACTTGGCTCTAACGACATTTTCGTCCTTACCACAGTAAGATCTTAGGTTTTCGTTCTCGTTGGCGCGGAAATACTCACATATCAGATTTGCTTTATATCCTCACTCGCGCAATGAAATTTCATACTTCGCACCGGTGAATTTTTGTTCTTATCACAGCGAGATATTATGTTCGAGTGCACAGCTGACGGGCGAGAGAGGAGAATCGCTGGATCTTCGAGGAGCTCTATGCACTCTATTTTGACAGCACGCCATAGCACGCGCGAGTTACATATGTGTATGTGTATGTCAGTGTATATATGTATACATACACATACATATATAGTACAGTCGAATCCCTCTATTCTAAGATTGTCGAGTATCGAGATCTCTCGCTATTCTGAAATCTCCCTTCAATTCCTACATTCC